CATAAAATGGCTCTTCTAGTACAGGCCAGCCTGCCTAACCCTCCTGCATTGCTAGCTCATTGGCATGTACCACTAAGCCTTCTTTATTCCACACAAACTTAAACTAAAATTTCCTAGTTAAATGTGAAAACTGACGACAATGGAAGTAGAAACTCAAAATATGTCTGTCCCTCCATCCAATTCAATACTAAAAGAAATGACCAGCAATTCAAGTTTGGGGGTTTTGAAAGATTTTTTTTTTTTTTTAAAACAATGTAAGCATTAAGAATAGCTTTCCTTAATCTCTCAAACATGATCTTTTCAACAATGTATCCTTCTTGAAAACAAAACATTACCTTTTCAACAATGTATCCTTCTTGAAACCCAATCTACTTAGAATCACAGCAATAAAAGAGCACTCTACTCTGTGGGTTTTAAGTATTAAAAAAACAAAAAGACCTCACTTTCCTGAAAATAAAACGTCATGACACCATGTTAAAGAAAACTGCACTAGAATGTGTTCAAAATATGTGAATTATTTTGCAACTTGCTACTTAATCCAATCACCAGAACTTCAGAAGGAAGTTACTCTCCCTGTTTTAGAGACAATACTGAAGCTCTGGTTTAGGTTGGCTGATTAATGTCCCTGAGCTGGTTAGGTAAGCCCACCCCCCCCCCAAACTGGTTTTGCCCAGCATGCTCTCCTGCCCCTTCTCTCTCCCTGTCTCTGTCTCTGAGATCTCTACTATACAAACCCCCATCCCTCTCCACCAAGTAAAGAAGGCAATGCAGGCGTGGTGGTCTTTTAGCCGGAGGAAGAGCACTTGCTTTCCTTTTACACCTCCTGCACCCCAGGAGAAAAATCACTGCATAGGAAACCATGGCATTCATTGGTAATTATCTGCTAACTAAAATAATGAGTGCCTGGTTACAAAAAGCCTCATCCAACAGTTTATGTCACAGCTGCTGTTTTTACTCCTCCATTCAGCCCAGCGGACTGATGCCTGGGACACATGTTGGCATTCCACCATCTACCAGGCAGACCCAGCACAAATGCTAGTACACACTCCTATAAGTTCTTCCAACATGTAAGAAAACCTCAGGAAAGCCCTACTTACTGTCCCACTGTAAGATGTGTTCTAGCAATGTCTAAAAAAAGAGTACAAATATGTATTATTAGTGAATTTTAAAAAGGATTTCTAGCCATATTTCTGAAGCAATAGGAGGATCTTCAGTTTGAGGCAGGCCTGGGTTATAGGGTCAAAGTCTGTCTCAGAAGTAACAAAATGCTGTTCTCTTTACTGCCATATCTTACAAATGTATCTTTGTGCCTAATACAGCAACAGAATCCTGGCATCCAAACTACCAGGTAGCTGCTCTCTGTGGGTTCTGACTGGCACAACACATCCACATTCTCTTGGAGAAGTACAATTTATGCTAAATCATTGTCAACAGTTCTTTCTCGGTTCCATCACAACTCATATATAATCTGTATCTCAAAATGAGTAGAAATATTTGGACAAAGACACTACAGCTAATTTATATATTTACATTAAAAGGAACAATATCAAAAGTTCCCCCCCACACACTGAATTTAGTGATTTTAATAAGTAAAGGACCCACGGCCACTTATTTTGATGAGTTCAAGTATGGCTTATGAGTTCAAGTGATGCCTAGATACCGATCTAATGTCTTAGTATTTACATTTTAACCTTTTATTCAAATATTAGTACTATTTGTCAGGTCAAACAACCAAGCTTCAGGCACCAAGAATGACCAAAAAAGAGTGAAACCCACAATCCCAGCCACTATGGACCCCCATGATAACCAATGTGGTTTGTTTCTCTGCATTGCTAGTTAAGGAGTAACCCTCTAAAATTGGGCAGTGCATGGTCATGAACAGCATTTTCAGTGCCTATAATCACTCCAGCACAGGAGGCATATCTGTCTTTTCGATGAATAATCAAGCTACATGGGTTTTTGTCCCTAAGTGTTTATGGTTTCTGATAGAAGAGATGTATGTTTAACATCAGGTGTTTTCAGCCATTTCCACTTCCTGGAACTCAAACAAGAACTACACAAGTTCCCCAGGACACGGTTAATGAGTATTCTTACTTCTGTTCCGTGGCCTACCTGTGGAATCGTATACAAGCTATTGGCAGTCCACTGCAGCTGGGAAGAAATTGAGACTTATGTGCAAGTCTCCTAAAAGGAGAGCCAATACTCAAGTTTTAATACAATGTAATACTACAGAATTATCCAAATCCCATTTTAAAAGCTACAATTGACTTCTTGGAGTAAAATCACTCTTGTATGTGTTTCTCTGATGTGGACTAATAAGCATACCCTAGGGATAGCTTGTGGACTTAGTCACCTTCAGGCACAGAATATAACCCTGGCATTAAAGTACATGACCTACCCATAAATGTCACTAGTTTGAAAAAAATCAAATCTGCTCTAATAGTTACTAGATACAACCCTAAAACTAGGTACACTATTGTAGGAGTTCATTTTTTCTTTATCCATTGAGGAAGACCGGTAAATAGGCTTCCCTTGTCACAAACACTAATAAAAGACAAATAAGGTCCCCAAGCAATGAGAAGCTGCATACCTGTAACCGGTTACTTAGGGGGCAATCAGATGCAGCCCCGCGAACTTCCTTTACCTTACCTAGGTTCCCAGGTCTAAGCCTTCACCAACCTGGGGCCCACGTGGTTCTCCACTGCCACCACCAGCCCTTGGCCAAGGCTACGGGCCAGGGCAGGGCGGGGCCAGGGCGGGGCGGCACTGGTCACGTGGGCTGCGCGGCCGCCATCTTGCCAGGCGGAGGAGGGGCAGCCCCGCCTGGCCGCTGGGTGGGCCGCGACCGCGCGCGACCCCAGCGCCCTCGGGCGGACCCCGCGCCTCCACGGGCGGCCGGCACGCGCTCCCGCCCTCTCCCCGCCGCATCCCACCCGCGCTCTGCCTTGCGAGCGCTCAGCTCATCCAGGGCCGAGCAACAGCTGGGCTGGACCGCGGGAATCCGCACTTACAGCAGCCCACCTGCACCAGCAGCCTCAAAAAAAAAAAAAAAAAAAAAAAAAAACAAAACCGGGCAGCCTGGAGCATCAAGATCCGCTCGAATGTCAGCTGGAGGACCTGCCGACCACACACTAACTCCCCACCTCCAAAAGGTGGGACCCTAGCAGTGTCATCAGACACCAACGGTTTGTTCATCAACCCTAGACAACTATGGGAGAGACATGCTCAGCACTCCGCCAAGTGCTAAGCAATAGCCCCAGCGTCTCGTGTAGCACATACAAATCCTCGTAGGATTTATTCTTTATTCCCACTTCCTTAGAAGTGGTGATGTGCTGAAATTAATGGCAGGTCGCCCAATCTTTCTCCACTCCTGCCAGCATTCACTGGTGGCCAGAGAAGGCCATGCACTGCAGTCAAGATAAAAATCTCAATACTCTGATTAGCACACACCAGTCCCCTCGGCCTGCTTTACAATACTCCAGACAGGTAGAATTCTGCCATGATGGACCTGTGCTGGTATAGTACGAGTTGGAACGATGTAAACTGTCCCACTGCGGGGCATCCCTATCAGACCAAATCCAAGGTTATCTTTATATTGTCACAGGGAAGCATGCTAGAACATTTACACATTAACCCAGAGTTCATGCTTTCTGTTCTAAATTTAACAGCTCAGTGGCGTAGGCTGAAGGGCGTATTAAGCTTTTACCATCATCACACACACGTGTGCTGGTAATAGAGACACTAGAAGATGATTTTACAATCAAGAAAACACAAAGTACTAGCTTTACTACGTCTGGGTTTTGTAAGATTTATAATAAAATTAAAAAAAAAAACCCACAAACGTGTCACCACTTTAGGAAAGTCTCATGGGGAAAAATGAAGCACCTGGCCTAGATTGTCTCTAAGGCCCTCGGAGATTGATCCTAAACGCCCTGGGTCCTGAAACGCAATGCTCAATTTGAGTTCTAGATATTGAATGACTTCAAATACACGCTAACTTTCAAGCAAAGAGCGAAGGGAAATCCTCCTCCTAAAATGGAAAAGCATGACATCCAAACCAATATCTTTCAAAAGCTCTGATCCACAAAATAAGAACTTAATCTAGTTTTTACTGCAACTGAAACCTATCCCCTTCCTCCATTAAATCGCCATCCTTACGAGGTTTATTGGGCCTAATGAAATTGCTTTCAAAACTCTGTAAAAAAAAAAAAAAATCTTTAATGCTTGCGAGAAGGGTACTAGCAGTGGTGTTTTCATAACTTTTAGATGACCTTAACGCCTATCGTAAAGACCTAAGAGATCACCAGACCCAAATCTGGAAGCAGAAGTCAAGCCCCTTAGGAAAGCTTGTTTTGTAATTTGTTAAAGGCTTGGCCAGGCGATCCCAGGCCTTATACCCAGATGACCAACAGCGTTAGACATAGGTCAGTCAATTCTTCATACATCCCTCCCCCCCCAGGAAATACAAAGTTCTCTGAGTAGAGGCCAAAAGACCTATCCAAACTTTTTAAACTGGCACACGCTAAGCATGAAAAGTCCCTTATGGCATGCATAGGCAAGGTCAGTATCCTGGGAGTGCCAAGGAGCAAGGCGGTTTTAAGCAGGCTGACAGGGTAGGGAAGGACCACCCAGGGCTAGACGGCGCTGACAGGCCCCTCTAGCGCTTCGTTTTCCCCTTGCACCTAGCGCACACAATGTTCAAAGCCCAAAATGTCCCACAAGCCTCCTCATCCGAGGTGTCGGGCCAGGGAGCTCCACGTCTTTCGTGGCAACTCTTGCCCGTAGAGGAGACTTCTAGAGCATTCTGTTATGGCGGGTGACTGGAACTGAGTCGCCCAGGGAAACGAGGGCCACCCTGGGCCGAGAGTCGCGCCGTGGTCATTCCCAGACACCTGCACGAGGCTGGGGTCGGAGCTGGGTGCAGGGGGGGGGGGGACCTCCGAGGGCGGGGCCGGGGCTGCGACCGCACAGCCAGTCCTTGGCATCCCAGTGCGCCTTACCTGGGCCCTGGAGCCCGGAAAGTTGCACGGCTCCACCTCCGCGTCCTCGGGCTCCACGCGGAGCGCGCTGCGGAGCCTCTCCAGGTGCTCCCTCAGGGTGACCCGCTGGTGGAAGGAGAACGCCGGGTGCAGCGAAGCCATGGTGAAGAGCAGCAGCAGTTCCTCCTGGGCCCTGAAGCCAAGCCCGCCTCCAGTCCCGAGCTCGGCGCAGCCGCCGCCTTCCGGGCCGAGGCCGTCCTTCTCCGCGTCCTGCCCGCCATCGCCACCCGGCTCGTCCTCCACGTTGCCCGGCGAGCCCTCGGCCCGAGGTGCGCGCAGGCTCCTGAGCACCGCGTCCACCTGGGGCAGGAGGCGGTGCAGGCGGCCGGCGGCCTCGCGGTTCTCCGATCCCAGCAGCGCCAGGTAGACGATGAGGCGCGAACGCACGGCGGGCTCTCGGAAGTCGGCCAGCGACCCTGGGTCCGAGAGGCCGTTGGCCTTGGCCTCGGAGTCGCGCAGGTAGTGGTAGTCCTTGCGCGCCAAGTCCTCCAGGCACGAGCCGAGAAAGCGCAGCTCCAGCGGGTTGCACAGGTCCAGCAGCCCGCACATGAACTCCAGGCGCTGCGCGGAGCCCAGCACCAGCCCGAACCACTCGTACACCCGTTCCTGCTCGCGCAGCGCCGCCGCGTGCCCGCCGCCGCCCGGCATGCCCGCGCCCGCCGTCGGCCCGTCAGCAACAGGCGGCTCGAGCCCCCGGGGCGGCGGCGGCGGCGGCGGCGGTGACGGCGGCGGAGGGGGGCCCCGCGACAGGCCCGTGGGCGGCGGCGGCGGCGGGCGGCAGTCGCGGCGGCGGCGCGGAGGCGCCTTTGCTCCGGGCCGCGCGTCCGCCTCGGGCTCCTCCGCGTCGGGCGGCGGCTCGCTGGGGTGCGTCGGTTTCGGCGGCAGCTTCATCCTCAGCATCCTCGGCTAAGGCGGCGCGGACATGCGAGCGAGCGAGCGAGCGAGCGGGGGCGGCGGGAGGAGCCGAGAGCCCGGGCGGCGGCGCGGCCGTCAGGAACGCTGCCCCTCCATGCCGCCGGGGCGGGGCGGGCCGGGGGCGGGTCTCGCCGGCGAGGGGGCGGTGGCCGGCCGGTGTCGTCGTCCCGGGCCGGAGGCGGGGCGTGCCCGCGGCGGCTCCTCCAGTGGGCGCCGCGCCTGCTGGGAGCCGGGTGCGGGAGGAGCAAGCCGACGAGCGCGTCCTCCTTCCGCCGCCTTCTCCGCGTCCGCGCACGGCGGGCGGCGACGGCCTGAGCGGTTCCTTCTCGAGCCAGCGCTGGCGGAGCGGCTAGGAGGGGAGGAGGAGCTGCGGGGCTGGGCGGGGACGCCGGCGGGCTCCGCGCACGGCACCCGAGCCAATCAACGTCCGCAGCCGGCGTGACGTAAGCGCCCGTTCCTCTTCCCGGGAGCCGCCCTCTCCGAGAAGCCACGCCCAACCCCTGCCAGGCTGCGGGGCTCCGGCGGCCGCCCCGCGGTCCTAACGCTTGGTCCCAGCGTGCTTGGGACCCTAGGACCTTAGGACCACGGTGGGTGAGCTCGGCCGGAGCGGCGAGAGGCGTGCGAGGTTCACGTCCCAGGGGAAAAATCGGCTTGGCTTTTCTTGGATCGGGCCCAGCCTGGCTGCTTGACCATCTCGCATGAGCCGCCGCCCGGGAGCAGGACCGGCGGGTTCCGAGCCTCGGCCTCCTGCTGGACTTGGCGAGTGTCAGCCTTCGGAAATTCCCACATTCTAAAACTTTACCGGGACTGTCGGTGTGGACGCCCGGACGCAGGTCCCGGAGCTGGGCTGGCATGCGGGGCGGAGCGGTCCGGGGCGGCGAGCGCCACGCTCAGGCTGGCTGCAAGGTGTGGATTTGAGCCGCCAAACTAGCGGAGGGGACCTTGCAGCTGGAGATGTCTGGGCCTAATGGTTGCTTCTGGCTTGCAAGGTTCAGTTTAAGCTCCCTCACCCTCCTGCCCCAAGTCTATGATTTTTCAGAAACAGTTGTTGGCTACGTTTTAGTTCCGCTAACATTGGAAATTCTAGTGCTGGTGTGAATTTTCTGTAACTCAAAAGAATTTAATAAGATACGGTCTTGACAAGGCTTTTAAGTTTTTAATATTACATGTTTAAGGTTTGGAGACCTCCAAAATGTGTCTCTTTCGGTGAATATATATATTACATATTTTAATTTTTCTTTTTGAGGGTAATAATAAAAGGGCAATTTTTTTTGTTTGTTTTTCCCTACTGTTTTAAATTAAGAACTCATACTACTACTCTTACTAGGAGTGTGAGAAGAGTGAAATCCACACTGGCCCCTTTTCAGAGTGTAGACACATCTACAGGGTGTGTAGAACCCTTATCTCACAACGCTGTAACTTTACCATTCAGGACAAAGCTGAGTTGAACCCTGAGTCAGCTTCAGGGATAAAACTGGGAAATGGAGAATTACACAGCACATTTTAGGTTGACAAAAATAACCAAAAGTTACCCTGTCATGTAATTTTCTGTTCCCTTGTGCTTTTTCGGTATAACTTAAGTAGAGTAAAATGTCAACTTCAACTACCAACTGACCTCAAATCTACCATTCCTGCTGGAGCTCGTGGTCACGTGTCTGAAGCTTAGAATGGGTTGCAGTAAGAGACAAATATTGTGGCAAGCCCACACCCTGCATTTGGACACCCTGTGTAATGAACAAACACTGTACCTCCAAACGGAGTTTTACACGTGGCCCAGGCTTTACATTGTTTGCATCTTTACATTTCCTTGTTATCGGCTCACAATGCCCAATCCATGTTTCATCAGAGTTAAATCTGCAATTAGCAACGATGATTTTCATCTTTGTAGCTTTGCCAGCACAAACTGATAATAACACTTATAAACAGCATATATAATAGTTTAATGATTCAGGTTATCCTCACCAGCTTGAGGATTTTATCCCCACAGGGTGTTGTTTCAGGGCCCTCTCTCAACCCTGAAAATCACACACAGGTTGAAGTGGTTTTTCTCACTTGTGATAAGCGAGAGAACACACTTGAGGATGTCTGCCTTGCTTGTAAGAGCCCCGGGCAAAAGAGGAGTGTGTTCACTTAGGGGGAAACTACCCTGGTGATTCTAATGACTCTAGAAATACATTCTCCCAACTGATTGTAAAAACCTGCTCTAAATTCCCAGATGTTTTACATTCTGTGTGTAATCAGGATCAGATGGGCAATAGTAATGGTAGGTATGTGGTTTGTATACAAATTTTTCATCCTGGGATTGTGATGGTTAAACTTGGTTGTAGGCATCCATGGATTCGCCTACACACAAGTAGTAGGATTTATAAGTGTGAGCCACCAAACACACTTGGCCGGGATATAAATGTCAATTGACTTGGCCATGTTTTATTCAACTTCGTATTTTACCAGCTGTTAACCTGTTCATCCCATTTAGCATGTGATAGGTGTTCATAAACGGTTGTGAAATAAATGGATGAATGAACAATAGAACAGAGGTAAAGGTCAGAAGTGTCGGGGCACTGAGTCTTTGTCCATGTCTAGCAGGAAAGACTGAATGTGTAGACCAGTATCTTCTGACCCGGCCTGAGGCTATCCCTTACTTAACTTGCTCAAGCTGTGTGTCCGCCTTCGATCAATCTCTGGATCCAGACAGGTGGGCTCAACTTCTTCCGAGTTGTAAGGACCCCCCCCCCAGAAAAGACATCAGGGGCTGTCACAAAGAAGGAAGGGAAACATGGATGCCAAGGAAACACATTCATATGTCAATGTCATTGTATGTTAGCATGCCCTTTTATCATTTAAACTGTCATGAGTATATTTCAGAAGTAATTTTCTGCTCAGCCAGGTCACACACAACATTATATGTGGATGGTAATTTTTAAAGCACATTTGAAAATTCCATCAAAACACATTAAAATCACACAAGCTAATTACTTGTTGAAGTACAACTTAAAATTACATTTTAAAATGTAAAAGGTAACTTTTTGTTTCTGAAAGTTAAGGCAGTTGAGAAAAAAAAATCACAAGTACTGTTTCTGTGACAGTATTTTCACTGGTAGCCTAGGACTCTGTGTCAAACCTCTGGTGGAAGCCATCCTTGCTAGCAGCCTAGCCTTGAACTGAATTGAGACTTTCCCTGAAAGATTCCTCGGGCCTAACTTAACCAGAATGCCTAGCTCTCAAACAGTACACACTGAAGTCTTTGGGAAAATGGAATCCATGATCTTTGACTGTTGCAAAGAAAACTTGATACTAAAATGGTTTGGTTTGGAAAGTTCTCAAATTACTGACTTCTGTTAGAAATCTACAAATCTAAAATTCTGCTACTTAGTTTGAAAAGATCGGATCACAGGGCAGATGAACTCCAACTTACTAAGTTTGGGGAATTTTGAGTGTCAAAAAAAAAAAAAAAGCAATAGCATTAATGGATTAAAAACTCTAACCCTTGGGGGTTAAAGAGAGTGGGTGTGGCTGGGGGGGAATGCTACTGGAAAAGGCAGAGAATATGAAGGTAACATTTGTAACTGTCAACTGTAACTATTGGTTTTGACATGCTTACTATTGGATGCAAAGCTGTTGGGAAACAAAGTACATGTTCTCCATCACCTCAGCTAGAAAATAGAAGCTGGAGAGAGTGCTCAGCCATTAAGAGCTCTTCATGTCCTTGCAGAAGACCCAGGTTCAATTTCCATCGCCCTCATAGCTGCTTACTACTCTCCATTGACTCCTGTCTAACAACATTTAACCAGGGAGCAGGCACATGGAGAGCTGACAAAAACATTTGCATACATAAAGTAGGTAAATCCAAAAGCTACTTTAAAACAAAGAATATATGTTTTATAGGAAGAAATCTATTGAATGGTGTCAAAGCCAGGATGTCACAGATAGTGTTAACAACGGAACACTAATATTTTCTTTTGTCATGTGAAAATTGCTACTAGAAATACATCTTGTATTCATGTAAAAGTGAATCTAATCATGAGGAAATATAATTAGCGTAGACTTTGGGATGTAATTTGGGATGACCTCAATATTTAAAAATATCAAAGTAAATACAGGGTAGTGTTCTCGATGAAAGGATTCTCAATAGATATAACAACTAGATGTAATGCTTGATTTTATTGGTTCCTTGGATTAAAAACCTAAAAGGCATTTAGGGGGCAATTAGATAATTTGACTATGAGCTTATTAGACACTTTTTGCCACAAAGGTGGCTTGTAGGGAAAAACCTGTCTGCAAGAAATACAGAAACGCGAAAGGTTGGAATGCCTACCTTTATAAGCAGATAAGACAGGAAAAATTAATAGAAAAGCCAAAGTAAGTGTGATAAAATATTAATGCAATCTAAGAGGGGCAAACAATGTACTGTTTCTTTTTTCTGTTGGTGGGATTTTTTTTTTCAAAATAAAATGAAGAGACTAGAGACCCCAAGTATACATCCAAAGGGTTCATGAGAACAATACAGAGCCACGCTTCACTGACACAAGATTCAGTCATTCCATGTCCACCTGATTATAATGGAGTGGAAACCTTCTTACCACTTAGTAACTTCACAGCCATTGTAATGGCAGTACAATACACTCCTGACCTACTTGTGATGATTCATATGGTGCTGCCCACCATATGAAAGTGTAACACATAAGCTGTATGTAGTGTTCATGAACTTGAAGATGGTAAGGGATTGATTGCTCCTGGTGCGTGTACCATCCTTTGCTATTTTGGAGTGTCCTGCCTATACACAAAAGAGTGCTGTAGCACACTTGCACCAGACTCATGTTCATTGTGTGTCTTGGTTGTGTTAAGAAGCCACCTGAATGCATTCTGTGGCATTCAGACAGTAAACTCAGCTAGCCATGCATTTCCCAGAATGTATCTCTGTTCTCAAGTGCACTTTGCCGAATTATCCACCATGCAAATGTAGCCTAACACATTAACTGGTTTTCCAAGTGGGACAAAACTTTACTCCAAGTCCCTTCAAAACCAAGATACAAGATTTATAAAGGGGCTTGAAGAGGTGGAGAGCTGTTTTTTCTGAATGTGTTACCTCAAGTGATTGACCTTTCAAAAAACTTAGGGAGTAAAGCCGGACGGAAAGAACTAACTGGACATGAC